CACGGAGGAATGGGATCGTAAGAGTCCCTGGCACCCCCTTTCCGCTCACCACCTCTCTCGCCAGCAGTTGGGGACTTCCCTGAGCCGGAGACGTCTCCGGACACCGATGGCAGATTCAATACCTCTGACACCCAGGTACGCATGCGCCCAGCCCTCCTGCCCCCTCAGTCCCTGTCCCATCGCCTCTGCGTCCCTGTTCAGGCCTCATTCTCCCCATGGACCACTGTCCGCCTCCTCCCTGGCCTCCCTTCTCTCCCTCCCCTGACCCAGAGCTGACCCTCCCCCTCTCCAGCTCACAGCCCTCCATGGCTTCCCAGCAGCCTCAGGAGAAAGTTCCGTTTTCACCAGGCATTCCAGGCCCTAACACACCTCCGTTGCTTTCCTCGCTTTCCAGCCTCTTGGGAACTGGAAACTCCCTGCCCTCGATCTTGCTGATGTCCCCGGGGGCATTCTCCCCAGACTTCTCGGCCCAGGTCTTGCCTGCGTGGAGCCAGATCCTTGGGCTGAATTAGCTGCTCTCCCGGACCTCTTAGCCCTCAGCATACATCAGAGCATTGTGTGCTCTGAGCCCAGGGCGGTCTCTCCCCTAGATCGGAAACCCCTAGAGAGCAAGGCTCAGGACTGTCTCCTCTCTGGGTCCCCATATTGCTGAACACAAGGCCTGACCCATGGGGAAGTCTTCAGAAAATTCTGTGGAAATGCCTGGACCCTTCTCTCTCTCTCTCTAGGAAGACATTCTGGAGGAGTTACTGAATGACATGGCCTTGGGCTCAGTTCCAGATGAGGGGGCCTCGAGCCTGGCTGTGGCCCCTGAATACCCCCCTCAGCTCTTGCTGAGCCCCAACTTAGACATTCCTGCTCCCTACCCAAACTCAGCGCCCCCTGAAAACCCACTGAAGCAGCTATTGATGCCCCAGGACGGTGAGTGCCAGCTGTGGGCTGGGAGGAGCTGGATCTGGGGTGATGGGCCCTTACACGCTCTCAATCTCTCCCTTCACGTTGCCGCCGCTGCTGCTCAGACTGGGAGTTCGAGGTGACCGCCTTCTACCGGGGCCGCCAAGTCTTCCAGCAGACGGTCTTCTGCCCGCGGGGCTTGCGGCTGGTGGGGTCAGAAGGAGGGGACAGGACACTCCCTGGGCAGCCGATAACACTGCCGGACCCCGGGGCGTTCCTGGCAGACAGGGCCGCGAAGGACTATGTGAGTCGTGTGCTGAGCGGCCTGGGCGGGGGACTCGCTCTGTGGAGGGACGGGCAGCGGCTCTGCGCCCAGAGGCTGGGCCCCTGCCACACATACTGGGCTGTGGGCGAGGAGCTTCTCCCCGACAGCGGCCGCGGGCCTGATGGCGAGGTCCCCAAAGAGGCGGAAGGAAGCGTGTTCAACCTGGGGCCGTTTGTGGCAGGTGAGTGGAGAGGGGGCCCCAGTGGTTAAGAACCGGGGTCTGACCTTTCGGGATCCTGCTGCTGTTGGCCATTTAGCCTAGACTGCTCCGAGCCCGGCAAGTCTGAGGGCTCTCTCCCTCCCTCTGCCTCCCCAGGGCTGGGAGGAGCCCCGGGCCCCCCTGCACAAAAGGTGCTCAGGAACTAGCTGCCATAGTCGTCGTCATTTTTCCCACCTAAGGGCCCGGGGCCCAAAATTCATGGGGGGGGGGGGGGGGGGTCCTCAGCCCGGCCTGCACCCTCTTCAATCCGGGACCCTTTGGGAGATGTCCAACCGCCTCTCGCTATTCGGGACCACTGGCTCCGAACCGCTTGCCTCCTACGTGCCTGATCACCCCTAACCACCTCTGCCTGCCTGATCGCCCCTAACTGCTCTCCTACCAGCCTGATTGCCCTTAACTGCTCCCCTGCTGGCCTGATCTCCCCTAACCGCCTCTGCCTTGCCCCACACCCGGGACCCAGGATTCCCTTCTCCTGCTGGTTGCAGGCACCCGGGACCTGGGCTTCCCTCCCTCTGGCTGGCCGTAGGCACCCAGGACCTGGGCCGGCTTCTCCCGGGCCGGCCGCAGCCAGAGGGACTGTGGGCGGGTGGCTTCACCTGGGCCGCAGGCACCTGGGACCTGGCTGGTCCCCATTCCTCTCTCATGAGCTCATTTGTGCCTGGCTGGTCCCCATTCCTCTCTCCCCGGTGTTGAGTGTTGAGTGTCTGAACAGTTCCAGCGCTAGGGCAAGAGGGCATGAGGGTGTGATGACTATGTGCACATTAGCTCTTTATTATATAGGCTTATGGTGGACAGACAGACACAGGAGAGATCCCGTAGGACTTTGCTAGCCAATAGCACTTTCTTTGCACTCCCCAATATCGTACAGTATCCAGCCACATGGCTATTGAGTACTTAGATGCGCTGAGAGCATCTGAGGAAGTGAGTTTTAAACTATTTGCATTTTAATTAGTTACCATTTAAATAGCCCCAGGTGGCTAATGGCTACGTAGGGACAGTGTGGCCTTAGGGGGTTAAAGAGCAGTAACTGTCAACATCTTTGGGAGAGGATTCCCCTCCAGGACCTGTTTCCCCATCCTGAATGCTCAGGGGGAGGTGGGAGCGGATCGTCCAGCCCTACCCTGATGGGTGGGAGGGAAAAGGAACTTTTATGTTTGTGCCAGAATTGTGGGGACTTGACGCACATCAGCAGCCCCCTGGTTTTGATGGCAGAGGTATGCCAGGCTTTAGGTTAGCGGGGAAGGTAGGATATTATTCAGGTTTTAGGGGGAGGGGCAGGTCGAGGTCTCCCCATCCCTGACTAGGCTCTTGGGCCCACAGATCTGATTGCCTTCATCAATGGAAGCGGACGCTCACCACGCTACACCTTCTGGTTCTGCATGGGGGAGTCATGGCCTCAGCACCAGCCGTGGACCAAGAAGCTAGTGATGGTCAAGGTGCCTGCGCCTTAGGATCCTGGAGCTGAGGGGGGGGATCTTCCAAAAGAATAGGTTGCTCCCAGGAACTACAATTCCCAGAAACCCCTGGAGAAACAAAAATTTCCAACTCTCTACATCACCAGAGGATATTTTCATTGATTTTTAGAGGGCGGGTGGGGGTTGCGGGGAGAGAGAGACATCAACTGGTTGCCTCCCACACTGAACCTGCAACCTTTCAGTGTATGGAATGATGCTCCCACCAACTGAGCGACACCAGCCAGCTAGGGCTGCAACCACCATTCATTCCCAGAGACTTCTGGGTGTCCCACCCATGCCCTTATCCATGGCTGGGACACCCAGAAGCATGTGGGAGTTGGTGGACTCTAAGTCCTAGCAGCCTGTGAGGAACTACAGCTCCCAGGAGTCCTTCTGACACCAGCTGCTCAGCCCTAGCTTCTGGGAGCCCCTCTGGCCTCCGTGGTTGTGAATATGGGAAAACTACAACTCGCAGCAGTCCTGAGCCCAAGAATTCATCCTGGGTTATGGTGGGACCTGCTGGGAGTTGTAGTCCACTCAACCCCACCCCCTACAGTAGACAACGTTGGGTGCTTCTCTTGACCATGTTTCTCCCGCACCTCCTATAGGTTGTTCCCACGTGCCTCAGGGCTCTGCTCGAAATGGCGCGGGTAGGCGGTGCCTCCTCGCTGGAGAACACTGTGGACCTGCACATTTCCAACAGCCAGCCTCTCTCTCTCACGTCGGAGCAGTACAAGGCCTATCTGCAGGACCTGGTCGAGGACATGGATCTCTAGGTCACTGGCCAGGTCTGCACCCACCAGTCGTGGGTGCAGGTCCCTCGCCTCCACCAATAAACTACTTCTTGCCCTAACCGGTTTGGCTCAGTGGATAGAGTGTCGGCCTGCGGACTGAAGGGTCCCGGGTTCGATTCCGGCCGGGGGCACATGCCTGGGTTTCGGAGTTGATCCCCAATAGGGGGCGTGCAAGAGGCAGCCAATCAATGATTCTCTCTTATCATTGATGTTTCTATCTCTCCCTCTTCCTTCCTATTTGAAATCAATAAAGAAATATATTTAAAAACAAAACAAACAAACAAAAAAAACTACTTCTTGCCACTGTCACCACTTGTGTGTGGTATTCGGTGTCCCCAGGCCAGCCCTGACCCAAGCTGGGCACTGCTCCTCCGGACCTCAGTCTATGCATCTGCAGGCCGCCCACAATTCGGGTGCTCACAGTGCGGGCGAGAAACTCATCACCGCCACACCTCTTTCCATGGACCTGGTGAGAAGGTGACAGTCATTCCCACTTTACAGACCGAGACAGTGAGACTTAGAGAGGAGTAAAGGTCACAAAGTAGGAGACACAAGCTGGGTCAGAATCCAGCCTCACTTCTCCGAGGGAGGCCCAGGGCTGCCTCCGGAATCCCCATGTTGCCTCTGAACAGCCGGGGCCACGCTCCGGTATGCAGAGAGCTCCCCGCCTAAACGGCCCTGTCTGTCGGGGCCTTGGCTCCCTCCAGCTCCTGCGGGGTGGCCTCAGGCACGTCCTCTGTCTGGGGCTGGGACGGGCAGTGGTAAAGGAGCTCTGTGCCCCGCCCTGGAGCCCACGTGCTCCGGCGGCCCGGGCACTGCCGCCTTTCCTCACCACGCCTGGGTTCTGGGCGACAGGACTGAGCGAGGCCAGCACTGCCCTGCCGCACCATGTGGCCCTCACTGCGTCTCAGGAGGGGGGATTCCATCCCCCCACCGCATGGACTGGCAAAGCACAGCCCAACCCAATGGGGGCGGGCACGTCCCAGGCAGACAAGCAGCACGTGGGTGCCCTGAGCTGGGAAGACTGACCAGGGGCCTGGCCCCTATGTGCCGTCACCACCCTCTCAGCAGCAGCTGACAGTGTCCCGGGAGGGTCCTACGTGCTTCCCCTGCCTGGGTCTCACTTAATCCTCACAACACCCACTTTACAGATAAGGAGACTGAGGTGCAGAGAGGGGCATGTACTGGCCCCAAGCCACACAGTCTGGTCTCCCTGTTAACCACCCTCAGACTGGGGCCAAGCCTCCTGCGTGTGTCCCTCCCTAACCCCTCCCCAAATTAGACTCTGAAAAGAAAGGGCTAAAATCACGGGGTTCGAAGGTAACATTTCATGAAATCTTTAATGAAACTGGGGGAGGGACATGAACAGAGGGGAGAGGCGATGGGGACAGGCTTGGGACGAGGAAGATGGGCACAGGGCTGGGCAGGGGGCTCTCATCCCCACAGCAACCCTCTCCCAATCATCCCACTGACGGGGGAGGGAAGTGGAGAGGTGGAGCCATAAATACGTCCAGAATCTGAAGAGGCAGAGGAAGGAGGTGGGGTTGTTGGGGGTCTCAGAGAGGGGGCAGGGGCAGGCCCAGGCCAGGGCCGCCCTTGTCAGGGGGCCCTGGCTCCTTGGGTGGCCGTGGGGGCCCTGGGGGGTCCCCTGGCTTGCGGCCGTGCTTGCGGAAGTAGCGGTAGCTGGACGTAGGCGCGCACCAAGTTGCTCACCTTCACGGGTGATCTCCCACTTTTGCTGTGGCAGATCTGGGGAGCGAGGGCAGCTGCATCACTGCCAGCCCCCCAGGCCCCGTCCACCTGGACTGCTGAGCAGCCTGGGACTAGGATAGCAGCCGCTCCCCAATGTCCAGGCCAACGTCCTTACTTATCCCGATGCCAGCAGAACGGGCCCAGATGGGCTTGAGACCTTGTCACCCTCCTCACCTTCCAGACTGACCCCCCATCCCTCAGTCTCCCCCTCTGCGCTCATCTGTCTGCCCTCCCCTGTCTCTGCGTCGCGTCCTCCACCCACCTCTGTGTCTGTCCCCCTCTGGGCCCACCTTGTGGACGGCCTTCCTCAGGATGTCCTTGTACTCCTCCTTGGTGATGTCCTTCTTCTGGTAGTACGGCTTGATGGCCAGCTTCACCTCCTCCACCGCCCGCTCCTGTGTGTGCAGCTTCTTCAGGTACTGGCGACAGTGACAGAGGGGGAAAGGGGACAGCAAGGCCAGGTGAGTTCCTGCGGGACCCGGCCTCCACCCCTGCCCGCCACGCAGCCTCCTGGACCAGCAGCCCCTCTTGGAGGGGGACGCCGTGCTCAGGGGCTGCCTGTGCACCCCATGCTGAGGTCACCACGGACCACAGGCCTGGGCCTCCGAGTGTCACTGAGCATGCCCTCCAGGCCGCACTCTGGCCGTCCCAGGTGGCCATGGACACACGTGTCCCCTGCCCTGACAAAGTTCAGTCCAGTGGGGAGACAAGACGTTAGCCAAGCAGGACGACTGTTGTCATCAGACTCTATGAGACTTCCTCTGATCGCAGCAGGAACGTGTGGCCAGGCTTCCCGGCGTGGGCTTCACGACACTGCCCTGGCTGCTGAGTGGACAGCAGGGCTGAGGGGCACTGGGGGTCCAGGACTGGTTAGGAGTAGAGGGGAGGGCATGGGGGGGAGGTACTAGAATCCTGCTCTACCACCCGTGGCCTGGACGAGGGACCAAACCCCTCTATAGCTCACTTGTAAAATGCAGACAGTACTCGTGGGGAGGGGGAGGTGACACATGGAGGCCACGGCAAGGGGAGCTGTGACTGTTCTGAGGTGGGGACAGGACAGGGAGCAGCTGAGAGACCCCAACCCCTGCCTCAACCTCAAGTGGGATCTTTGCAAAAACCGACGGATAGGACACCTCTAGCAGGAGAGCACATTCAAGCCAGAGCCAGTCTGCACAGGGACAGTCACCCGAAACAGCAACCCTGGGGAGGTCACCTCCCGGGCCAGGGCTGAGGGGAGATGGGAACAGTGAACTGAGTTCTGACAAGGGCAGTGCACTCCGGACTTCAGGGCCAGCATCTCGGAAGAGATGATGCCAACTGTCTGCTGAACCCCTGGGCCGCGCCACTGCTAGGAGAGCCACCGGCCACCCCGAGTCCTCGGGCCTCCCTCACCCCACGGGAAGTGGGTTTCTACAGAGAAGGGGGCTGTTCCCCACAGCCATCTCAGATGTGGCAACGGAAGACAGCAGGCAGAGAACAGACCAGAGCAGCCTCACGCACAGAGCAAGGGACCCGTTGCTGGTCACAGGCCGTACTGTCCTTGTCCTGCAGACCATGGCGGCTGGATGCACCAGCGACCACAGAGCTGTGCCCTGCCACTGCCCCTCACACGGCGCTGTTTATGGGGTTTACTCTGCTCTCCCTCTGGCGCGTACATGAAGTGTATGGAGGGGTGGGCAACGCCACGATCAGCGATAGGCTGTTGGACCTTAACAAAAAGCATCCTGACCTGACCAAAAAGATAACAGCCCGAGGTCTGGGAGGAGGAGCCAGATGGAAAACCTGTCTGTATTTGCCCAGCATCTATTCTTCCTTCCTTCATCTAGAAAATGCTCGATTTTTGTTTGTCGACCACTCTTTCCCTTACACAAAAAGATGGGGATGGAGAAAGGGAAGGAAGGAAGGAGGGAGGTATGGAGGGAAGGAGGGAGTGGGTATGAGTGTGTTTCTCTCTCTCTCTCTCTCTCTCTCTCTATATATATATATATATATATATATAATTTTTTAAAAACCTGCCCAGCACCCATTCATCCATTAGAGTGACAGTTCAGATCCTTACAATTTAACAACTTCAGTTTTTTTAAAATCTACGGCCCCGTCTACTGGCATCGTCTTTGCCATTCTCCCTGGGCCCCCGCATCTCAGTATCTGCTCCTGTTCTCTGCAAAACTGTCACCATCATCCCACCTCTCCCAAGCCCAGCTCACCTTATCCGTGTCCCCTCGTCCCTCGGAGCTGCTACTGCCCTCTCTCTTGTCAGATGCAGCAGCCAGCCCAGTGGGGGTGGGAGGGGTAGAGCCGCAGCCCCCTAGGGGAAGGCTGCCAGGGAGCAGGTAGCTGGAGGGGCCAGGGGGCAGGCCCAGAGAGGTGGGTACAGGAGCTGGTGTCACCCCTAGACTGGAGGGTGGCTTCCGGTGGCTGAGGATCTGTGGAAGAGGTTGGAGGATGAACAAAGGGCCGTGGAGGGAAAGAGGAAGCATGTACCCCTATTATTTCCACCCCGATTTCCCAACAGTCCCAAGGGTAACAAGCTCCGCTTCTGGCCAATATCTTGCCTCAAGGCCTGCTGGGAGTTGTAGTTCCTCTCCTAACCCAAGGCAGGGGACAAGAGAAGGGGCTGTGGGGACTCTTCCTCTGGGGAGCCCACCTGGTTGGTGGCCTGGATCAGCTCCTGGGCCTTTGCTCTGCTCGCCAGATTGGCTTCTTCCATCTTGAAGAGAAGTGCAGTCACTGCAGGAGGCGGAGAGTTGATGACAGGGCGGTCCGGGGTTGACAGGAGATGAGAGTGAATCTCACCTCTCCACCTACTGCCATCCCCCGGGCCCCCTGGACAGGCCTAAGGCCACAGGCTCAGAACTAAGAAAAGGGGGCCTCGGCCACTGAAAAACACCCCCTCCACACCCCGATGTTCTTGCCGCTCAGGGTGTGTGCGTGTTGGTGGGTGGGCCAGGGCCAACCACGGACAAGGTGGTGGCAGAAGTGAGATTCTGGCTGCTCAGCCCCCACAGCCAATCCCAGCCTCTCTCACCACGTCTGTGACCTGGCAGAGACTCCTGTCATCCCCAAGGAACACTGCTCACCCCATGCTTCCTGGCCCCCATCAAGTCTATACCAGTCTCGTGCAGGAGGACGCCTGGACACGCCCCACTCCAGCCGTGCTGAGCTGGCCACCCTGCCCATCTGCTCGGCTCTCTTCCATCACCCGAACATCTAGAACATCCTGGACAGACCTGATGGGCCCTCGCCCACCTGCGGCCCCCAGTCCAGGTCACTACATACCCACCCTTTCCAAGGCATCCCACTGCCACCTCAGGTGTCTCCATGTGGTGTCATCTTTCCTGGTCCTTTCCGCCCACCCAGACCGCCCTGGCCCCGGAGGGGAACACTCACAGGCCAGGACGCCACTGGTAGTGCAGTCCACACCAGCGGGCAGGTTCCAGGGCAGGGGTGGGGGCAGCGTGGGCAGCTGAGAGGCACGGGGAGCCGGCCCGTCCTCTGCCCCCGAGTCACCGGCTGTGGATCCTGCGCTAGGGGCCGTGCTTGGGGCGGGGGCGGCCGTGCTGGTGGCCGTGGTGGTGGCAGGCTGTTGCTCCTCTTCCTCCTCTTCCTCCTCCTCCTCTTCTTCCTCCTCCTCCTCCTCCTCCGCCCCACCTCGGACCCCAGGCTCCTCAGTGGCCTCTTCAGGCAAGAAGGAGACCTCAGGTGTCTTACAGCTGCTGTCCACCGTCTGTGAGTCCGGGGTGAGGGCGGGGGGCGGAGGGGCGGCCTTGGGGGGCGGGGTGCTGGGGGCCTTGGCCGCTCGCTCCTCCCCGGACCAGGACGTCTCCTCGGCGCCCTTGGCCCCGGCAGCCTGGCTACAGCTGTCGGCCTTGGACTTCTTTCAGGGGCACAGGGCCCCCGGGGGCCATGCCGCCGCCCCTGCTGGCGGATCTTTTTTCCCTGGCCTTGGATGGCTTGGTCTTACCCTTGGTCTCCTTGGCTTTCTTGGTCTAACACTGCCCTTCACCTTGGCCCTTTTAGATAGATGATGTCCGGAGCTGCTTTAACATCTCAATAGAGCCCGCACTCGGGATGCACGAAGGGAAGTCAATCTCCGTTCTAGCTGAATTTTAAAAAAATAGATAGGGCGTTCGAAGCGGCGCAGCGACGACGTTTGACACTGATGCCATAAATATATTTAAGAATTTTGTATTCTTTTTCTTTTATAGTTATTTTTTTTTT